TCCCAGTTAGCTTTATTATAATACCTGAAACAGTTATATATATTGACTTGTTAATTATTTGAAAATCAAATTACAAAAAAAATAAAAATAAAAAAATCACATTTTATAATTTTATACCAGTAATTATAATGACATGTATTTTTTAACTAAAGTGGTCTCATCAAAATCAAAATTATGTAAAAGTATAATTTAATAAATAAAAGAAAAAAAATTATAATTTACCTTTTACCTGTCAAAATAGTATAAATAAATATTTACCTTTTACCTGTCACCAAAAGTAAACCTCGTAGGACATTTCCTGAAATTTTTTAAAATAGCAAGGAGGCTTATGTAATTATCATAAACTTCAAAAAAAAATTACGTAATTTGCCCAATTTTTATAAATAAATAGTGAGGTCACGCGAAAAAGGGATCAAAGACTACTAATGGATGTGCTTCAAATAGAATCGAATCTGACTATAGACGGTATAGAAAGCTGGCTGGGGCCCAACTTAGGTAATGATCCCATAATATTTAAGGCTTTCAATATTCATATATAGATAAATTAATAAAGTGTATATAAAAGACTTCATATAAAGTAGACTTGATATTTCAAAAATCTCAAGGCTGGCCAGGGCTCTAGAACTAGAGGCCATGACTCACTACATATTCTGCGCAACGCTGTTCGTGTCAAGAATGTACGAGCTCCAAGCGGTTCATATCAAATATACCCTTAGAAAAATCAGAATTAGTCTGGTGAAGTTTGGAAATAGAATAATTCCCGTAAATGCGATGATTTACTTTATGGGTAAGGTTCCATGAATTTTATCATCAACTTGATGAATTAATTTTCATACCCAGATGAAAACAAAACTCCCACTCACGACCCATCAGAATCTGCATTGAATCCCTTGGCACAACCACCAAATTGAAGTAGACAAATTATCAGTAAAAATTTGTATCAGGAAAAATAAATTGTAATTTTTAAATACAACAAGAAGAAGAATAAATAGAGGAACTGATTCGATGAAGTGCATCGTATGTAGAGGATTATTACTTTCTGCTAAAATTCTACGTTTTGGCATCTTCTTTCTTCTTTAACGTGAGAGAAGACTTCTATTATGTGAAGATCTAGCCCCAAGTAACATGATCGGATCGAAACGTTTGACTAAGCTGGTAAAATTCTATAAAAAGTAAATTTCAAAGTAGACAATATATTTGTTAGTCAAAGATGAAAATAATCAATTTACTTATTTTGTAAGTGAAAATACTATATGTGATTTTTCACTTATAAAAAACAATAACACATTCCAACGTGTCGAAAAACAAAAAAGTACTTACGAGTAACTTAAACTTATTTCTTAGCTTAACCAAACATATCCTACGTGGTGAACTGAGGCCCACTAGGGTTTAAAAGCTGACGTGGTCACCAAGTTGTAGATCATCCTCCTTCAAATCTCGGTCTTGGAATGGCTCAGGGACGAATAGCTATTGGTTCGACTATTTACTTATACTCGCTACGGGTTTTTATCTATTATTGTACATTGCACTTGAAATTCTAAAGATGTAACAAGTTGCACTGGTTAAGAATAACTTGGATAGAAACGTGACCTTTATGGCTGGGGCAAAAGACACTGAAACACTCACCATTTTGATTTAAATTTATCTTTCATGAATTGGAGCCCACTTGGCGGATGAATTGGATGAATCTTCCTTTGAAGCAAAGATAAGGGTCTGCCTCAGCGTCATTTAGAAGAAAGATAAGTAACTTATAACTGGAAATGGTTTTTTGCTCATCGTCGATAATTTTGAAAAGCAATTCCACCATTTTGCTCTTAAAATATTTTGTTAGTGTTGTTCAATACAACGTACCAAGCGTGTGCAAACCAATCTTTTGTTCAATTATTGAGCAGTATCCCTTATCAGGCATTCAATCTCTCGTGGACCAAGCAGTTTTACTGTCTTTGATGGCTGGTGGTATGTATACCTTGGCCCAATATTCCTGATAAAGTACTAAAATGGGCCGCAACCGAATTGTGACGTAAAGCTCTCGACCCACAAACATTATTAAGGGGGTGTTTGGCGGGGATCAAAATTAGATTTTTAGTAGATTGTGATAGAAATTTTTGAAATGTGTGCTTGAAAAGTTGTGGGACCCATGAAATATGTGGTTTATATAAATTGTTTGACTTTAACTTAGATTAAAATCTGATTTTAATTAAAAAAAAACAAACAAACGGGGCCTTAGTATATATACACAGGAGAAATAGTTTACTACACATTAATTAATTTGAGAATAAGTTTTTGATGTGTCTAAAAAATTAAGAGCCAGTCTGGTATCAAAGAAATTGGCCAAAATAATTGTTTTTCCTACCGTTGCGGATCACATCAGCCGCAATGTTTGACCGGCCATGAGTGGTGTGGGCCCTACTAACGGTCACTTTATTGATTAAAATTAGCTCAAAATGACCACCAGACAAACCCTAAATAATTTTTGTTATTAAATAATGCACTACAATAAACAAATATAATGAATTAATGATCAATTCATAATTTATTAAAACTAATCTAATGATCTAACTTTATTAAAATATTATAGATTATGTATACCCACATCTAAACAAACCCATAACAAAATATTCGTTAGATTAGATTGAGTTAATGATTGTATTTATTTGTCAAGCTGGAGCCACATTTGAATTGCAATAAAGATTATATGTCTTCACTTATTGTAATACTTATATCCACATCTTATACATGATAATTGTTTCTATTCAAATATTGTTAACATGTTTCGAAATGAGATGCAAATATGTTGTCGAAATAGCCTCCGAGGCTACTTAACTTGGTGCAAGATCGTCGCTTTTCTTTTTATAGATCCATAATGCTTAACGACATAACATGGATCTCCATGATCAAAGTGCTGGAGGTTGACCTTTTGCCCTTATGTAAATTATGGCTCTAACTTACAAAGGCACGTGAGAAGTGACTTATACGATGTTACTTGCAATGGTGATGGAGTGTAAATATTCTTTTTATCTGCTTAAGATAGCGTGTGGGGGTAGTGAACCTATTGATGTCTAGGACGCGACATGTGAGTCGTTGGGATGAGAGTACGTATCAAGTATTAAGGAGTCTTCATTCCTCTCTTTCGCGTATAAATATTCATACCCGATGCCATGAAAGGGTAATCTAGTTTAACTATTTTCACTCTCTCAAAATGCAAACCTAACTCCAATAACGACCATATTTTTATTAGATGAGTGGGACTTTTATTAGACGAGTGCAAACCTAGTCGTTATCGTTGATTTTTATTAGACGAGTGAGACCTAATAACGGCCATATTTTCAATTTTAATTGGATTTTAATCGGAAACAAACAGGCTCTATATTCACTTATCCAAATGTCAATTTCAAATTCAATACACTTCATTGTCCTTTTAGTGGCTAACTTAAGTGTTGGAGCACCTGAGATCGCAATCTCCACCCCCCCTTCGTGTTTTAAAGGGGCTCCAGTCTTGCGTGTCTAAGGCGTGTGTTTCAAGTGCACATGTAACATACGCTTTGAGTGGGATGGATGTGAGATCTAGCGATGCGTCGAGTCTCAACCAATTTGGTGGATAAGAATGCAACCAAAAAAAGGGGACTCGAGTATGACAATCAATAAAGATATAACTTCATTACAATTAAAAAATTGTAGCACAACAAAAATTAAGTATGAATATATTACCTATTTGAAAGAAAAGAGAAAAAGAAAAAAAGGAAAAAAGACAGATCGTGCTTGGTATCATTGATACTACTCTCTTTGCATGATTGAAATTGGCGGTGGTGGTATTCCATCAGGATCTCCCTCCTTGTAGCAACTCAATTGTTTAATTCAATGAGTTATTTCATACCAAGACTATGATGACGCAAATTATGTATCTTTCAATATCGAGTGAGATCTGGACCCATTAATGCCTAAATTCAACATTATATTTGAACTGCATTTAATTTGGATCATCGGATAATCAAATTTCATAACTCCGATATTAATTCAACGAGTTATTTCATATGCAAGACTAAGATGACACAAAAATTTTAATTTGTATATTTCTCGAGTGTTTTTAGCAATGACATAGTAGTTAAACTGGGTAGCGGGGTCAATACATCTACCAGTGGGGAATTGGATAAATAAAATAAAGTTGTTTGAATAAATTTTTGAATTTTAACCAAGATTCGTATATTGATACCTAAATTCAATGTTATTTTTGAATATAATTGATCTTTTGTCCCCAGTGAGTATGATAAAAACTTTTCACTGTAGCGATGTGGAGGAGAGAAGAAGTTATTCTCTCTGTCACATCAGCAACGGTGAGAGTTTTTATCCTACTTACTGTGGACATGAGATTAGATTCATATGTTTGAAATGCATTTAATTTAGGTCAAATGTATATTCAAATAAGTTAATTCCACTTTTTTAACTGAAAACTCAACATATTCATGTGCCAACTCTTGAGTTTTAACTAAAAATTCAAGAGTAATGTTATTCATCCTCAGTGGGGTTACAAACACAGTTTATGTGACTCTAAATGATAGGTTAAATGATCATTTAATTTCACCTTTCATTTAACCTATCATTTAAAGTCATATAGACTGTGTTTGTAACATCAGTGGGGATGAATAGTATTACTCAAAATTCTAAGGTTGATGACTTGGTACACGGATACGAAGGGTTTTCAATTAAAAAAATGGACATACGGTCAAATGAAATCTTTGCGAGGTTAAGTGGTAAGTCTGCAACAAAGTAAGGCCCCGTTCGGGAGGGATGGGGATGAATAGTATTACTCAAAATTCTAAGGTTGATGACTTGGTACACGGATACGAAGGGTTTTCAATTAAAAAAATGGACATACGGTCAAATGAAATCTTTGCGAGGTTAAGTGGTAAGTCTGCAACAAAGTAAAGTTCAGTGGCAAGATGACCATAAGTGCAAAGTTTGATGGCTTAATCTATATAAAATATATCCGCGCTACTTTTGAAATGGGCATTCCTTTGTCTTCTTCCCCGCTGAACAAATCATACCCCTTGTCTCGTATATATTGCTCTGTAAATGGCGGTCGCACAGTTATCAGGGCTCTTTTTCCCTAATCTGCATCAACTACCCCTACTATATATAGTCAAATTCATTAATTCAGAGCAGAAATGGCTGCATAGAACCTGAAGATACTCCCAGTCAAGTCCAATACTTATTAAATGACTCTGATGTATCCCTTGAATCTTGTCCCCAGCCCTCTCCGCCCTCCGCCCTCTATTTTATATGGGTCAAAGCACCTCACGTTTGGACTGCGACTGTCGCTGTTTTCTTCAGCTGTGTACACTTTCAGGTATGCAGATTTCTTACTTGGATTCTTCTTCATAATTTTATTCCATTCAAGATTGTTTACTTCGCTTAAAATTTACTTTTCCGTAAGTCAAAGTGATTGGATCGAGTATGAATTGAACGGCTGATTTTTAAAATTTTTTTTTTTTCTGATTTAGGGCATCAAGATGTCTGGATTTACTATTCGTGGATGTTTTTGGGCTGTGTTGTTGTATTTTTGTGTTCAATCTGCAGTGGAACAAAAGACTGATCCCTCTGAAGGTGGAATGTTTTCTAATTAGTTAATTACCAGTCATTTACTTGGGGTCGAGCAATATTGTCTTCTGGTTACCATTTCACAATATAAAACTTTAAGGTGGTATTCAAATTGGTTAAAGCTGTATCATATATTCATGTCAATTATCCTACTGCTTTATTAAATTGAGACAATAAACTTATGAAATGTACTTCCATAATCTGTTGACGAGCAGTGTTTTTAAATTGAATGATTGTGTTCAACAAAAATGCATGGTTTTTATTTTTTTGCATACTCAATACAGTTTGTTTATGCCTTCATCCCCGGCTGTGATTATTTATTTTCCATGGAATGATCATTGATCCACGTGACAATGATTGCACTATGGATCTAGGAACTCTTTCGTGGACAATGGCAATAGAGGAAGATTATTAGTTGTATTTGGAATTTTCTGATATCTGATTGAATAACTTACTTTTTGTACGAATTTTAGGAGAAGATTTTGCATTACTATATTACTTTTTCGTAACTCAAACATCCACGTGTAATATTATCATCTTACAAATAAAAGTTTGTGAATATTTGCAGTCACCGTTTTGGTAGCTTTGAAGAGTTCTTTGACTGATCATATGAAACAACTTAATAACTGGAACAAGGGGGATCCATGTAGGTCAAATTGGACAGGAGTTCTATGTTTCGATGTGGTTGGAGCTGATGGCTATTTGCATATCAGGGAGCTGTATGTTATTTTCCAATTCATTATATTAAAATGGCCTGTCAATACTATGTATTAGAAAGTTTTTATTATACTATGGCAGGGTTTGAATTATTTTTGTTTCTGTTTCTATTATTGTTCTAATAACTTAGACTTTTGAATGCTCTTTTATTGCTGAATCTGTTACAATTTACATTAATATAAGCATTATAATCCTTATATCTTCTGCTTCTCGTTGCAGACAGCTAATGAATATGTATCTATCAGGAAATTTAGCTCCCGATCTTGGTCAATTATCTCAACTCCAAATTTTGTGAGTTATTACAAATTACTGTATTGGCTAAATTGTCAATAGCATAAATTATCGCTGAATCATGCCCACAGTTTGCCCTTCAGCAATGCTAATATTTGTCCCTTTTGGAAGGAATTTCATGTGGAACGATTTGACTGGGACTTTGCCGAAGGAGATTGGAAACATTAAATCTTTGAAACTTCTGTAAGTCTAATTTACTGCAATAAAGTGCGTTTTGTGTAATCTTTTGAATTTTTCCACCTTCCATCCTGGAAGCAGAATTAAGTGTACTGGGTTATTGCTGAATATGTGTGCAACCATTAGTCTTTATCTACCCCATGTAGGTCCTGAAGTCTACTACACTGAATTCTAAATATACTTATTTATGACTTCGTACGAAAAGTACAGCGGATAAAATGAAGTGCGAAATTCTCATTTCACTGCTCTATAGTTCAGAAACTTTGGGAGGCTTGTCCAAAAGATCTCGTTATCCATATATATACATTTCTGACTTCCGTGATAATTTTGAAATGTAAAATTTGCATTCCGATGCAAATAAATATATACGTAGCGTATTGTTGATGTATGTAATGTATAAGGTGAAGTTCATATTAGGTTTTTCTCCCTTATGATTACCGAGGGTCGAGTGATGCAAATTTTTTTACCTGGTTTTATGTCACTTATGCAGGCTCTTGAGTGGAAACAAGTTGATTGGTTCTTTACCTGACGAGATTGGTAATCTTTCAGAATTAGATAGAATCCAAATAGATCAAAATTCAATATCAGGACCGATACCAAAATCAATTTCACACATGAAGAAGCTTAAACATCTGTGAGTGCATCTTGTGCAAGTCTATTTTCAGAAGGGGTTTAGTTTACATACCTGCTATTTATTTTCATTCATCTGATTTCTGCAGCCATTTCAATAATAACTCGCTCAGTGGTCAAATTCCTGTCGAGCTTACTAATGTATCCACTATTTATCATTTGTAAGCTCTCTCTCATACATCTTTTCATTTAATGCCTTTGAAATGATCCATTCGGTTGGATATTCGCTTGCTGACAATCGTGCTCATCATAATGTTTTGCTTACAGACTTTTTGACAATAATAACTTAACTGGCTATCTTCCAGCAGAGTTATCAAAATTATCAAATTTGCGCATACTGTAAGTTCCTATCACATTTCCTAGGTGTAATTTATTAGTCTTGTGGTAGTTTCTTGTGCTTCTAATCTCTTGACTTGTAAATTATTTTTTTCTATGTATTTGTTCCACAATTTTGTATATTTAAGGACAGAAAAAGTAAATTATCAAGCTGTTTTTATCTCCCTCAATTCCTATTTCTCATTGCCCCTAAAGCTATGAGCACATTGACCCTGGCTTGGTCATGCATACTCGACTTTATAGCATCTTTGTGAAATTAGCTATCCATTGTGTCTCACGAGAATAATAGTCTTCTTCAATTTGCAATTTTTTATCCAACAATTTCCAACTAACCCAAAATTTATTTCTTGATCTTCCACCTCATCATGCTACGCTATATGTAAATTAATTGCTCTTAAGTTTTTTATGGAAAAACAATAACGAGGCCTTTCCATGTCTGTGGAAATTTGCTATCAACAATAATGTGAAGGTCTTCAATGAATGTTTCCATGACTTTTTTGAAATATTATGAGAGTGCAATATTTCTATTTCTCTCGCAGTCAACTTGATAACAACAATTTCAGTGGTTCTCATATTCCAGCTTCTTTTGGAGATTTCGTAAACGTAGTGAAAATGTAAGTGCTTGAACAAATTTCTTCCATTCTCGACCTTTCTCTTATAATTGCATTTACTAATAAAGATGCTTTATTCTTTAGGCCTAGCCTTCTCTAGTGTTATGAGGAATACCTGTAAACAATCTGGCTCTAATAATAGTAATGGAAAATAATGAATTCTGATGCAGGGTTTGTCTTGTTGCCCTTCATACATTTGATACTATACAAAAATAAAAGTCCTTTTATTTTTGTAAATTATATTATCATTCCTAATCCATCAAAATTTTGTTCAGATACATTGAAACTAAAATGCAGAAATTTTCGAAAGTTCAAACTGAATAACTTTACAGCCTACAATGGTTGTTATGCATCTAGCTAGATTGCATAGGAGTGCATATTCCAGTACTATCACAACTGAAGTAGTATCATTATGTTCTCAATTCAAACACATGCATGGAGTCACTTGATCACTGTAAAATGAGAGTATGAGAATAGGATTTTCATTAGATTCATTACCATTGAATTGGAATGTTTTACTTGTAAGACAAGAACATGGCTTCTTTAAAGAACTGCAGGGTAATTAGATTTCATTCTTAATGATCCAAATTTGCAACTCCCAATTTTTTCGCTATCAAATCTCTCACTAATGGTCTGCTTGTTCTCAACTGTTATTTTTCCTCCCCCTCACCATGGAGGGGCTCTTCCTTCCCTCCACCTATTCCTTCCTCATCACCACACCACAAAATACCTAGGGATGTCTCCTGAGAGACTTGGTATTGGAAAAGAATGGAGTAATTCAGGAAAAAATCATCTCCTCCTTAATGAGACGAGAAGACTGAAACAACAGAAGGAAGAAAAATAAAAGGAGGGCACTGCTGCTGGAGGGAGAGAGATTTGTGGTAGAAACTGAAAGAGACTTCCCTTAACTTAGATAAAGTGATTCTGATTGTAATAATGATCTCCAGTATAGCATTATAGTATTACTGCAAGTTAACATCAAGCACTCCAAATGAATAACTTAAAAGATGTTTATGTGCTTGTCTCTGTGTGTGTGTGTGTGTGTATGTGGAGATTTCAAGAGGATGACAGTATATGACCTTGTATAAAACAACTGAAAGAGGTTCTTTCGAAATGTCAGAAGTCTTAGAAATTGCAGCTTGCGAGGAGCTATTCCCGATCTCAGCAGGGTAGCTAATCTCAGTTATATGTAAGTTTGATTTTGAGTTTGTTGCATTTTCTTCTCTCTCAACCGATATTGTTTTCCTCTTTTCACTAGTAGTATTTAAATTCATCACATTTGCTTAGCTTACTGGCTTACTTCTTTCACAGAGATCTCAGCTGGAATGGGCTCTCTGGATCTATACCAGTGAATAAGCTTTCAGACAATATGACAACTATGTATGAAAATTCACTTACTAGATTAATCATTTTTCTGGGCTCTGCTTCCATCTTCACCCCATTTAGCATATATTCTCCTATATATAAGCTACTTTCAGTTTTATGCTAGGAGATTGTGTACATGTGTTGATGGTCTGCGAAACTTATTATTGTCCTTAAATGTCTTGTGCAGTAATCTGTCAAATAACCATCTTAATGGATCCATTCCTGAAAGTTTTTCACAACTTCCAAAACTCCAGAATCTGTGAGAATTTAAATAGCATGCAATTATTATAGCTACGGTACATTTGTAAGTTTAGTATGATATTTCATTATCTATGAAACTTTTTATGCTCAATAAGATGATTCATGCTACAGATTACTTGAGAATAACCTTTTGAGTGGATCTATCTCAACCGACATTTGGCGCAACAAATCCTTCTCTGCTAAAGCCATACTCACAATGTAAGAACTAGAACTACACAATTAGGATTGAGTCTGACATAAAATGAATTACAATGGATGACTTACTCTATGACAAGGCACATCTTGATAACTCACTCTTTATTGCATTTTGTAAACCAGCAATCTTCGGAATAATTCACTTTCAGATATTTTAGGAGATGTTAATCCACCTGCAAACGTCACCTTCAGGTACTCCTCTATCTTCCACTGAAAATTTGTTAATATTTGATTGTTACCAGGGAATCTTATAGTTATCAACCAATTTCTCATTCTAATGGGTGGTGACGTAGACTTACAACATTAACATGAAATAAATTTCAATTTATTGAGTTGTGCACTTTATCTTTTGATCCTCATTTGTGATGCTGAACAAATTATTATTGGGAGGCACTTCTTGCAGGGGAGTGGATGTTTATAAATTGCTGTCCAAGAGAGTGTAAAAAGTCAAGGATAAAAAATGTAAAACACAATGATATATTATGCACAAGGCAAATAAACAAATGCAGAAGCCTCACTTTACATTGAAATTATAAAACTTTCCGATTCCATGAATTATTCTTCCTTTATTATTTCAGGTGTCTTCCAGCTACCTCATCGATTAGCTGTGGTTGTAAACACAATATTGCCCGTCTAGTTTTATTGCAATTTCCCTTTTTTTTCCCCACGACGTTGCTGTTCTTTTGAGTTAAGGGTGTGACTTGCTTTAGCTTCGATATTATCAGCCTGAACTACTGAAATTTTTTAAGCTATGAGCTCTATTTTGAAAATCATCTGATATTTTCTCATGATATTTCCAGATCCCAAAACCAAATTTTGGCTCAACCTTTAATGAATCATTAAAGAATAGAATTTTAAGAGGATGTGATTGCATGTAATTGGTTCAATTGTTCCTTTTGTTTTTGACAATAATTTATTTAATGGAATTTGAATTATAATTATCTTGAAGTGCATTTTTTCTAAACCTCACTGTACTGTCATTTGGTAATTATTCTCCAGGCTTCAAGGCAATCCAATATGCCATAAAGCAGATATGTTGAAGATTGTCCAGTTCTGTGGACCGGACTCTGGGATGGGTTATGTGCCCAATTATTCAACAAATTCGACCATGATTTGTCCCATCCAAGCATGTCCTGTTGGCAATTATTTTGAATACGTGCCAGCATCTCCTATCCCTTGCTTCTGTGCTTCACCCATCCTAATTGGATATAGGCTGAAAAGTCCTAGTTTCTCTTATCTCCCTCCATACGAGCACCCACTGGAGTTATACTTGACTAGTTCACTTTCTCTACACCTTTATCAATTATATGTTGACTCTTTTTTCTGGGAAGAAGGGCCTCGTCTGAGGATGTCCTTGAAGCTTTTTCCTGTGGCTGGTACTGATCATTCAAGTCTATTCAATACAAGTGAGATTCTTCGGATCAGAAGCATCTTTACAACTTGGGAATTACCTAGGAATGACTTTTATGGACCTTATGAGCTTCTCAACTTCACTCTAGTGGGTCCTTACTCATATGGTAAGCCACTCTGGTCAATTGGGATTAAAAGATTAATTTATACTTGTCAAGGTCAGCTCTAATAGAACTATTTAACATATCTACAAGATGAAGCTGAATGCTGAAACACTTACCAATCAGTCGTACTGACAAGAATTTGATGACGTCCTTTGTCATTAGGTTCCAAGTGGTTAAATTGACATGAAATACCTTCACAATACTTGGCATCAAAACTGGAGGGTAATTTACGAAAAGAGGAAAGAAAAAAGGAAGACTTTTGTGACTCAAAGTTGTTAGAACCAAGAAAATAGCAGTGCTTTTGACTGTATCAATGAAGGAATCTAGTTTGGCCGGCTCTTTTTTCTTTTGACTAAACTTTTCTGTTTTCAGAACCATGTGGTGCTCTGCTATTCTGGTGGCATGCAAGCTAAAAAATTATAGTAGTCTTTATCTCTGTTGTTGATGTGGTTAACAGTTGATGTGGTTAACAAGGTCCAGACTCCAGCATGGTTGCCCAAAATTTTTATTTTGCTGTATTTTTAAAGATGTAATCCATGGAGTGGCGAAAAAGGATCAATGGAGCCAACCTCAAGTTTATTGGGAACATGACTTCACTTCTTCTTAGTGGTGTTGTTGTTGTCATTTACCTCTATCATACCTGAGCTTTCATGTAAAAACTGAATACCAGAATATAAATAAATCATATTTGATTAACCTCACTTATCTTAATGTTTATGCAGTGAATTTTAATACTCAAGGCACAGGAATGAGCAGGGGCGTCTTGATATCTATCATACTTGGGGCAGTTGTCTTTGCCGTAATTATATCAGCAATTCTGTCAAGTTCACTCACAAAAAGATATACTAACTACCGTATATTGTTAAGGAAACGTTTCTGTAAGTGTTCCAAATTGATAAAACTTTAATTTCTTTCAAATATAATTTAGGGAAAGTGAAGTGGTTATTTCACACTGCAGCCTCAAAGCTTTCAATAAAAATAGAAGGTGTTAGAAGCTTCACCTTTAAAGAAATGGCATTGGCTGCAGATGATTTCAATAGTTCTGCTCAAGTTGGCCAAGGTGGTTATGGCACTGTTTACAAGGGGATTTTATCTGATCAAACAATTGTAGCCATAAAGCGAGCAAAAGAAGGATCCTTACAGGGTAAAAGGGAATTCTTGACAGAGATAGAACTATTGTCAAGGTTGCATCACCGAAACCTAGTTTCTCTGGTTGGATACTGTGATGAAGAAGGCGAACAGGTACGTTAAAATGGAAATTCTTGCTATAGATATCGTGTTTGAACTTTTTCATGCAACTCAAGGATTTTGCCTTTGTTTTCTTCTGTAATCTCAATTTAACAATACTGTTTGGTTTGCCATCTTTCTTGACATAGAACGTGCCAACGGTTGTTAAGCGCTTCTTTCAGTAATGAGGTTGAACTGTAAATGTCTTTCCTGGGGATGATAACCATTTTGATGGAGAAAAAAGAACGTAAACTTTTAACTAGAGGGGTTCCAGATTCTAATTTGTGTGGATGTCCCTTTCTGTGGGAATTTTTTCTTGTTCTTTCTTTTCTATATAGTTTCTCTTGTTGGAATATTTTTATTTTTATTTTTTTGCGGCGCGCGGTGGAGGTGGGAAGCGGCAATGAAATTAATGAATAAGAGGATTTTCTTCGTGAAAATAATGTGTATTAGTGATGCATTTGCAGACGCTGGTTTATGAATTCATGCCAAATGGCACATTGCAAAACTGGCTTTCAGGTGAGGAAATAACTTCGTTTGCCATTCTTTAATCTGGTTACTTGATCATCACTTATTTCCATTGTTTTTGGACCAGAACTCGAGACAAGATACCATTTCGAGAGGTCCTTACGAGAATTTCATAACATTGATGATTTTAAATTATGCTTTACTACCCTCGTATAGTCACTGACTGAAACCTCAGATTTTGAAGTATATCTGTATATGCCACAATGAGACATTTGATAGGCGTACTATTGCAGCTTGAATGCAAGATTATATTTTCTCGTTAAAGAATAGACTATTTCTTTGCCACTGGAAACAAGAAAAATCATGACATTTCTTTCAACATTATGTTCGACAGGCAAGTCAAATAAAACGCTGGAGTTTAGAGTAAGGATGTGCATTGCATTAGGTGCAGCGAAGGGGATTCTCTACCTCCATACTGAAGCTAACCCGCCCATATTCCATAGAGACATCAAATCCAGCAACATTCTTCTGGATTCCAAACTAACTGCTAAAGTTGCCGACTTTGGTCTTTCACGGCTTGCGCCTGCCTTGGACGATGAAGGGGCTGTGCCTAATCATGTATCCACTCTTGTGAAGGGAACGCCAGTAAGTCTTGATTCAGTTGTAAAGTTTACATTTGGGAGCTTAAAAGAAAATAAGAAAATTTACAGGTTTATGTTAAATTCCCTTTTTTCTGTTTTTTATTTGTGCACTTTTAGATTCAGTTTCCTTGTATTAATGATGTTTCTACTACATGCAGGGTTACCTTGATCCTGAATACTTTTTGACCCATAAGTTAACTGACAAAAGTGATGTCTACAGCTTTGGAGTTGTCCTTTTGGAGATCCTAACAGGCATGCATCCAATATCCTATGGCAAAAACATTGTTCGTGAGGTACCGTGCTACTACTCAATTATATATCCTCTCTCATAAACAGATGAATCCTCTTTGATTTGCGATAGAAACTAAAAAGAAGTGCTTATTCTCTCAGCTGTTACAAATGAATGCTAGAATATACAAAACTATGCAGAAATTAAGGAGTTCATTGTTTACAGAAGCTAAAAATCACTAAATATTTTCTATGAACTGTTAGTTTTGACCGTTTAGAAATCAACTCTACTAAGAGTATTTGGACTCTGGTTGACCAGCGTTGAATCGTATGATTACTTGATTATTTTGAGATCTGCCATTGATGCAATTCGTCAAAAATTTTGAACTTTTAGAGATCATCTGTTTACAATTTTCGTGCTGTTGAAACTTAAAAATCCTCTCCGTTTACTATCTCAACTGAATGTTTAAACCGTCACAGAAATGATAAGACAACATATGTAATGTGGACAAATTCGAAGTGTTCTTGAACTTTCGCAGTTTCAAGAGAAATCATGATGTTGAAAAAACTGAAACTAAGATTTGGCATGTTCAATAATGTCAGGTGAATGTGGCTCGAAAATCAGGAACACTATTTTCCATTATAGATAGCAGAATGGGATCTTATCCTTCAGAGTGTATGGAAAAATTTGTGCCTTTGGCTCTTAGTTGTTGCCAAGATAAACCGGAAGAGAGACCATCAATGCTTGAAGTGGTAAGGGAACTCGAAAACATACTTCGACTGATGCCAGATGATGCTGAAATAGACTCTTCCAATTTCAAATCCAAACATTTTGATGAATCCATGCCTTCATCGTCCGGAGGTTATCTTAGCAGTCTCACGCTGACTGTCACACCACGCTAATAGCCTCGAGGTCGTGCAAAACTAGACTTGTAATTAGAATATTATGTCATAAGATGGGATGTACATGCAAGAGATTCCATTTAATTCTGCGAAATGTATGGTAGTAGCTTTGTGTATTCTACTTGGTTTTGACAAACACAAATACGTGGTGTGCATGAATAAATTTCTCAGTAGTTCAATAATATATTATACTAGAAAAACAAACTCTCCACTGCAATTCTCACAATCAACATTCACAAGTCAGTGAAACCCAGTCGAAACGAATGGTTAACAGTTGATCCAGCTCAAGGACACGTGCCATGCCAAGAAAAATATTGCCCTCTGGAAGAGAGTACCATTTTCACATTCAAAAACAAGAAAACCTGTTTATTATAAATCCAAAAGTAAAAGAAACAGGAAGAAAGCAGTGTTGGGGTAAGGATTGACTGTGGTGGGTATAATCCTCATCACTTGGAAGTAGATTCACTACTGCCCAAGTCATCACCCTCATTCACCAGTTTCTCCCTCGCTTCAGCAGATTCGACATGAGTAGTGTCTGCCCTCCCTTGATCGACGCTCTGCGATCCAGTTAACCTGGCTAAAATCACGAATGACATCCCTCCAAGAACATTGTTCAAGCATCTTAAAACGACGACTGAGGATTTGAAAATGACCGGTGAAAGCCCCTTGGCTAGCAAAAACTCAACGCCATTCAGAGTTTGGTATCTCAAATTACTGCTAAGACCCATGTGAATTGCCCAAGTACCAGCATTCAAAACTGTTGGCGGAGGCTTGTTTGGTGTCTCAAAGTTTGGATCCATCTTCTTCCTCATCTTGATCAAACCATTCGAAATAGCAGTTCCAACAAGTCCAGCCGCAAATCCAACAGCAGCAAACAGAGTTCCTTTATACACAAAAGTACCTAACCTATTCAACATACTATAAGGTCCTGGCTCAAACATGTGGCTTGGAGGACAATTTGCAAAAATTGCAGGAAGACTTGCGCTCGAAGAAGCCATAGTTGGCGCTAGGAGATACATGAGCACAAAATTCAGAATCGAACCAACAACAAGAGTAGAAAACACGAAATCAAGCTCATTGAGACCAAAATTCGGACGTGATGCCATGTCACCAATAACACAAGCAGTAACACCAACCAACTCCTCCATAAGAACCTTGAACGGGAACTGTGGATCAGCGGCAACCCTCGACCTCCAACCATTTAGAAAAGCCCCAACTGGTCCAAAACTATCCAATGAAGACTTGGAATCATCCGAATCTCCACCACCATCAGCCCAACCTCCACTGTCACTATCCCCACCACCACTACCTCCTCGAAAACCAATATCACCTCCACCCCCAGCACAAGGGATATGGAAATTAGGTGATTGTGTAGTTTCAGCACATTTTAACGAGCAAATGGAAAGCCCGTTTGGGGAAGTATTATAAGCAAATTTGCGAGTAAAATTGGAAATTTCACGGGTGGAGGTGAACTGGCGATAGTGGCCAGTAAGAGGAGAGTATCGGAGCTGAGTCATTGTCGCCATTATTTCCAGCCAATATCAAAGGCCACCTCTCACTTACCTAAGTAATGTAATTCTTCTGCGAAAGGAAAAAATAGCACAAAGAAATCAAATTGATAATTCAAATGCACTTCCTGAAAAATTCATATAATTTTTCGAAACAGCATAAATAATTATCCAATTACAAACCGAGATCATAAAATTCAAGTATTCACATTTCTAGAAGAAATAAAACAAGATGGAACATCAGTAAATCAAGGAATAAAAGTACACACCTTTTTTCTTAAGGGCAGTAAGAAATTACAGAAAACAAGATCTGTAAAACGTCGGTGAGAAAGACAAGAATCCTCGCTTATTATTTTCAGCACTAGAGGAACTCAGCCAGTGCAGAATCTGAATCTGGTCAGTTTTCTTTTTCAACTGCGCTGGTTAATAAGAAGGGACTGCGCTTTTTGGAATCTTAAAACCCTAAATCGAGACGGCAGAGGAAGGTGCTGTAATTTCTATTAATAGCAGGAAACTCCCCTGAAAATATTTCTATTTGCAATATACTCTCTATCTATTAAAAATCGCAGAAAATTCATTATTTGAAACCTTTACGAAAAACTCCGTACCTTCAGATTTTTCGTTAAAAACGGTAAAAATGTTAAAATTAAAAAGTAATAATTACAATTTTAGTATTGAAACTATTTGTTGTTTCAAAAATTATACCTAAATTTTTTTTATGTACCACCAACAATTCCAAATCTTTAAAACCTAATTTTCCATCCCATCCCACTTCACCTTCTTCCCCAAAACTTTATTATTTTATTTAGGGATAATTGCAGCTAGGGGTGGGCGCGGATCGGTTCGGTTCGGTTTTTTTCGGTTCCAGAAATTTTCGGGTATTTAGTAAATGGAACCGTCGGTTCTAAATATAATTTTGGAACCGTTTGATTTCGGTTCGATTCTGTTCGGTTCCGTACTATAATTAATTTTTTAACATTTAAAATAATGCTACATAAATACATCTGAAAGTAGATACTAATATTAATAACAAAAAGTAGATACAAATATCAAGTTCAATCTTAACTTTTACCAATTAACGTAATCTAATTTAATAACATATCAATAATAAGTTGTCAAATATAAATACCAAAAAGTAAATATTACTAATAAAATTTCGATGATTCATATCAATAATTTATTTATTTCAAACCTTCAAGTCTACATAAAAATGAAATATAAATTAAAAGTCATAAAGATAAAATATTTTAAAGTATTGATAATACTTACCAACTATTTAATATAATCATCAGTTGCTTGACTTTTC